GGTTAGCCTTCAAGGAAAGAGGCTGCATTAAAATTAAGCTTCAGGAAATGCCTTAAATGCCCATAGCACTGGGCCTCACTGTGTCATGAGGGCAAGGAGAACTGTACAAGAGTCCCTCACCATGTGGTGTGCCAGTGGGTTTAGGAGGATCAAAACTGCATGTGACCTGATCCCATTTTAATGCTCAGTGCTTGCCTTTACTGTACATGCATAGCTACTGAAAGTCTCACATAAGCAAAGGCTGAGGAGAAGCCCAGCTAGTCTCCAAAATACAGGCAACAAAAACCAATGACATCCCTATGTCTTCTTTTCTCGTATTTTCCTCTCAAAGCATAAATAGTAAACAAGTTTTATGGTCAGCACTCCTAGCAAGATGAAAACTGCCACGAGCAAGGGTTGTGAGCTCCAATGCCAAATGCACATCTTGGCAGCACATTCCTGACAAAATTCTTAACTTTTGAAAATTTAAGGCACCAAATTGAGTGAAAGTGAGGGGTTTCCATGCAGCTTGGCGTCTTCAGAGCTGGTATATGCAGCCTGTAGAGCTCACTGCATGAGGGCAGATAAAAGAAACCTGATTTAATCAGCTGCCCCAGCAAAAGAGCATGCGCAGCCACAAGACAGTTTCTGTTTAAGCTTGCAAATTAATTAAAGAGCAGATTCAATCAGGAAATCCAAAACAGGAAGATAGACACTAATATACAGTACTGTAAGGCACTCCTACTAGAAAGGGAAAATTTGAAGGCAAATTATGAAGGAAAGAATGATCAGACTCAACTGGTGCAAACACAATACAATGAGCTATGAAGTTCAAAGTCAAGCTGTAGGCTCGGCACTGTGAGCAAAGACAGGGACAGAGCAGCAGAAAAAAAAGTGAGGATTATGCTGATTATTTGATTACATTTCCCTCATACAGATCAACAGTCAGTTGCAGTCCAGGCTATGACCTTAGAAAGCCCAAGAAACTCAGTGCTTTCCGTTGGTATAGGGAAATAACAAAATAGAACCAAGCAGCTTCCCCATTACATTGTAAACAGACATCCTCTGCTTTTCTTTTTTTCAGTCTTTCAGGACATCATCAATACATTACAATACAGAGTTTCTTGATATTAAGAGAAGTCTTCATAACAGGAGCTCTAGAGGTACCCCTGATGACTCACTCCTAACAGGGCCATCAGATCCTGTAGAATATTGTGAAAAATACAAGTTCCTTACCAAAAAGTATCTTCTCACTTAGCTAGGAAGACCTCACAACTGCCAATTCCTACCATCCCAGCAATGAGCTCATAATGCTATGTGCCAGCCAGGATATTGTGTGGCATCACAAAGCCATCATTTTTCATCACCTCAATACAGACTAGAAAGACTTGTACATAAGAGACCCAAATTTGTCTTTTTTTTAGGTTAATAACATATATACATAAAAAGCTGAAGTTCGCATCTCCTAGGTAGGTCTTCCCTGTTAAAGGAAAGCTGGAGGGTAAGGGGAAAGAGGAAAAGAGACTTGAATAAGGACTTCTGCATCTGAGAATCAAATGAGATGGGAAATTTTTAAGGAGTTGTAGAGGGTCAGGGTATAGTCCATTGCAGGACTATTTCTATTTTCTACACCCTATTTCTACACTGATTACATGTTCTGTACATGCAAATGCAGTAATTGGATCTACAGATCAATTTCTCCACCATCAGCTATGAAAGCACCTTCTCTGTGAAGGAGACAAACAGCACATTTTATTCTTGATTCACTATGAAATGCTATTGTTCTAATTTATTTCATGCATGGGTAGGACAAGACTAAAAGCACAAATATATAATTTCACCTGTGTGTGTGGGGAGAAAGCTGTGCAATCTAGAAAGACCCCAGGTACTTTTCCAGCTGATGCCACATGCAGGATGTGGGCTGCAGAATGGGAGAAAGAGGAGCAGGAGGGATCAGCACAAAGCACTGTTAGTACAGCAGAGACAACGACACAAGGGTACAGTGCTGTCTTGAGCTCAAACCACCTACAGAATCCCAGGCTGAGTCCTTTCAGAGTTGGGTTTTCTGAAAGTTAGTAACAGAAGCAGTAGTTTCAGTTTATTCTTTTGCCTTCCAGTCCTCAAAAACAAACAGGATTTGTTCCAACTGCATAAGCACCTTCTGGGGGCAGGCTCAGGCCTTTCATTATGTTTATGAAAGGCAGTGACCGAAAACCTTATCATACATGTTCATATGGAATAACTTTTTTGCACAGGAGCCAGGTATCCCTGAGAGGAAAGCATCTTCCACATTACAGTCTGCTCCTATAGCTACCACAAGAAGCTGTTATTACTTTCCCAAGGTAGAAATGTATATATATCCATTTTAGCAACTGGCTTGCTTACAACAGCATTTGATTTTAAAGAAATTGATCTGATTTATTTTGTACAGTATTCCTTTACATAAAACTTTGGGCCCTGCCAGCATATTGTTAACAAGGTGCTTTTGCCCTTTGTCATTAGCAATGCCTGTGGTTCCAGACCCATGATTAATTCCAGAGGTTTTGTTGACATCATGCTCTTTTTTTTTTTTCTGTACATATCTGATGGCAAAATAAACTGTCTTGTAATTCCTGTATGAACTCCAATGCTGTCTATGCTGTTATCCCAGAATTCAACTAGAGTATCTTATCTCCCAAACAACTGGTACTGGAGGTATGTGTCAAAGTAACCAAGAGTTTGGAATGTCTGAACCTTGATTCCATAGGGTTTGTGAGAGTTCATACAAGTAGCCTTCTCTGAACTGAGCCTGATGTGAACTAGTCCTATTAAGTATCCTAAACACCAGAGCAATGATGATATGAAAAACACCACCTTTGTGCCTTTAATGACCCACCATCACATCTAGAGCTAATTCAAAATAGTACCTGCCAGATTCTGACAGTTTGAGTGCTACTGACTTCACCACAGGGCTAGTCATAGTGACACATGCTGAAAAACATGGGAGCGTTCTGTTTATTCAGCTAGTACCACTGCAGTTCCTGTTTGCATGACTAATCCCACAATACTTCCCCAGCCTTTGCATTTGTGAACATGCAGAGAATTCTTCACGTGGGAATGGACTTGCAAGGAACATTATATCTTTACGTATGATAGTTGAAAGCAACTAATTTCACATGAGGAACAGTGAGCTGAGACAGAGACATCCCTGTAGGGGAAGTATTAATTTTAGTGACAAAGGTATATGATTCACCAGCTTTATTAAATATGGGAATCCTTACAACGCTTTGTCAAGAACATGGAAAAACCCTGACTTCCATCTAAAGAATCCCACTGTGAGAAGGACTTCTGGAAAAGGCACTGGTTGTCTAACATATACAGATAAAAACATGCTTTTATATATATATATATATATATTAGTCGCAGTCAAATTTGAGAAAGCTCAGATCCAGCTACTTTTTTTGGACTGGAGACCGGAAAGGGTAACTACTTACACTTTAGTACAAGGCAATTTGTTGTAGCATTCTACCTTTTAATGTAAGCGTGTACCCTGTTCTTTTATTTAAAATACTTCAGCAATTAGCAAGATGATCAAAACTGTTTTCTGCTTTGAATACAATAGGCTGCATACTATTTGGGAAGCAAAGATCAGTATTCTGCATTTTCACAAACTTATGTGAGAGGAAAAAAACACATGCATGTGACTGTACATATATGTGAATGCTTTCTTATGTATCTAACATACACATTCCTGCAGGGTCCAGAGAAACAGTTAAGAATGTGGACTGAAGGGAGGAGGATCTCTGTGTGCTCACTGGAGGTAAAGCTGCAATGGATTAAACATACTGCCAGTGATGACACACGTCCCCAGTTAAATTCATCACGTAGTCCCCTTTCACAATATATGTATTTCACCATGTTTAATACCTCCCTGTGTTCCAGGTATGTGGAGCTTCACCTCGAGGAACTTCACTCTCCACCACAGAAGTCACTACAGAATTATAAAATCCCTTAGAGCTTGCAGAGAATGCAGGACACAGCAGAACAGAGCAAACTAGTGTTTTGTTTTTTGGTGAATTGTCTAACTAACATGGGCCAGACCACTTTCCTGACTATCAGCCCATCAGGTTCAGGTTAGATAAATACTTAAACTTCAGAAAATAAAAACAAAACCAATGTTGACACTTAAAATGTCTTAAAATGTGAGACTAGCCAGAGGTCAGAACCAACATCATGGTATTGGAGACGAGGACATAGCCTCACACAGGTCAAGAATAACCAGTGCAAAACTCAATGGACTTGAGTGACAGAGCTTGACTGACATATCCAGTCTGAACAAAAACAGTAGCAAGTCCCCTGCTTATCTGCATGGGGAATAGGTCACTGGGGTGGTTATAAACATATAAACACAGCTGAAGGAATTATTCGGCATCTTAAGTTTGCAAGCACCCTGAATAAGGTTTGACGGGAGATACTTTTCTTTCCTCAGGGAGGACTGACATGTAAATGCACTGATCCTTTAAAAATAGCTCTCTGGAAACATGAGAAAATGGAACCACATCAGGAGCAGATGGGTTTAAAATAATTCCTGCCTTATTGGGTTCTGTGAAACACCTCACCAGAACCTCTGCCAAAGCTAGTAATAAATAAATAATACAAATAAATAAGTAGATGATTCATCAATTCTAAACAACAACATACAAAATAATGTGGTCATGGCAGCAAATATTTTCTGCCTTGAGGAAAAGTCTTCTCCAGAGGTGGAAAAGAAAAAGCTGGGTGCTTAATTAGCTAGACCTAAAGTATTTCAAGTAAACCACATTCTATACAAGAGCTAGCAGCAGGACAAAATGCAAAATGCATTTTAGCCATTCGTATTTCAAAGCCAACAGGGCTTTATGGCCACTTTGGCAGCTGCTATTCACAGATGAAGAAGGTCAGACATTATTTTGCAAAAAAGATTTCCTCCTGGCTAAGCTGAGAAATTGCTTGAGCTGGCAGCTGGGAAAGGGATTCTCTCAAGGCCCACTGCCTTAAGGAACTCATGTGTTCTGATATGACAACTCAAACATGTTGCAAGACTCTTCGAAGTTTTCATCCATATTCAGTTGCCTCCAGAAGGATTTCTGCTTCTTCTGCAATTCTTTACGCACACACCTGGGGCATGGTACAGCCTTCACTTTGCACTCAGAGTGGAAGACAGCACCACAGCTTTCACACCTGCAAACACAAATTAGTGTCAAAAATGAATGGCAAAATAGGACCAGAGCATGCAATGGACTTCATAGGTATTGTGGGCACTAGACATTCCTTCAAACAGTCCTGGTAGCTCCAAGAGCACCAAAGAAATGAAGTTGTTAAAGACACTGGCTTGCCCACACCTCTGCTGGTGTAAAGCTACTCAGAACCACTAAAATAACTTGACTTGCATCCATCTGCAGTTGCTGAAAATCTATCCCAGCACTTCTGCTTCACAGACAGAAATTTTTAGAAGGATTAATACTTCTTCTTAACTAGCATTCAGGTCTATCACAGAATAGTCATCAATTTTGTTTTATGGAAGACAAGTTTGATGCTCTGGTTTGTAAATGAAGAGTAACAATACTCATTTCCATTAAGACACATTTCAGCATTTGTTACAGTCAAGATATGACATTTTCCTCATTGAAGCTCCAGTAGTCAGCTGTTTTGGAAAG